CCATTGATCCATTGATTGCCATGTGATGTTTTGATATGAACAGCATTGTCTTCGTGCCCCGCTTCCCCTCAAGTGGCAGTGTAGGACCCAGGAGACTGGATATCTCCCTAAGATTCCTGGCTGCCGATGTCTAAATTAAGAAGGAAACTGAGCTGTGAACCGTTTTTCCTCAGTTTCCCCCTTTTTGTGTTCATTTACTGGTATTGTAACATGTGATTGGCTTTACATATCCCGCTGAGCAATAGGAGGGTTTGTTTGTTCTGGCCTAGCACAATATATGAACGTGGTGTGTAAACTTTGATTGCTCTTGTAGCATAATGTACAGGTAGTCCTCGACTCACAACAGTTCATTTAGTGACCATTCACAGTTACGACGGCACTGAAAAAAGTGACCATTTTTCACACTTACGGCTGTTGCAGCATCCCCATGGTCACATGATCAAAATTCAAAAGCTTGGCAACTGACTCATATTTCTGACGGTCGCAGTGCCCCGGAGTCATGTGGATCCCCTTTGGCGACCTTCTGACAAGCAAAATCAGTGGTGAAGCCAGATTCACTTAACAACTGTGTTACTAACTTAACAACTGCAGCGATTTACCCTTTGGCAAGAACAGTTGTAAAATGGGGCAAAACTCACTTAACAAATGTTTCACCAACAGAAAATTTTGGGCTCAATTGTGGACGTAAATCGAGGACTACCTGTACGTATTCAACCGCTCTATAGCAGTCAGTTCAAAAACTCGTGGTTAAAACAAACTATGGATGAGTGACTCCAGTCAGCGAGGATAATTGGAGTTCTTTTAGAGAAGAAATAGAGGATGCGTGTAAATGGACAGCCTGCCTATAGTGAAGCAAGGGAAGAAATTCTAATAGCTATCTTTAGGAGCCTCTGCTCTTGTCTGAGTGTCTCCCAGTGACAGCTGAACCAGCGATCCCAAAAAGGAAATTTTCTCAGGGACATTGGATACCTTGAGCTCAGAGGGAAGGAGGGAGGGAAGGAAGGGAGAAGATGGAATACAGAAGCTCTCTTGGCATGCGGGATCTTCCATGCTGATGTTGGAAGCTTTCCTGTGTCTCAACAGGAAGGGATCAATGGAAACTGCCATCCAGGTGTCCTAAGCAGGAAGAAGGCCAATGCTCGGCCCAGTACGAACTTCCAGACCAGCCTATTAGGGATGAGGTGTCCAATCATGCCAGTGAATGTCTAGATCCTTCGTTAAAAGATTAGCCAACAAGCATTAAAATCCATGGAACGGCTTAAATTTCAGACTGAAAAAGTTGTTTTAAACTTGGCAAATCCCGATCAATCAAATCTAGCAAACGTATTGGAGGTCATTCAGGATCTCTGACATTCTTCGACACTTTTGTTTTTCCTACCCAGATTTTTGCTGTGATGAATTCTAAATGTGTAAGATTGAAAGAGATGTTGTGTTTGTGTGAGTGTCTTCTTTCCCCCCCCTCTCCTCTTTGGCCCCCCATGGGTTAGTTTTTGAGCAAGGACTTGTCCTCTGACTGGGTTCATATATTGATTGAAAGCATGTTTGCAGAACCATGATTAATTGGTAGATCGGCAAGCCATAAACAAGCAAACCACAGTAGGGGTTTGTATGGGGTGTGAGCTCATCCCCATTAGATTTGGAGCTGGGCAACCACTGATCCCCAGAATAATAAAGGCTGTTGAATTATGGACCATCAAATCTAATGGACCTACCCTCTCTCCAAGAAAGGACTTGGTTCCTCTGGAATCTATTTCTAGTTACCCCCATCCTCCACCCACCCAAACTTGAAGATGTGTCTATAGTTAGCTGTCCCGCCTCCCACTGAGGGAGCCTATATAACCCCAGGGGAATTCACAGTCAAGTGTCTAGGCTGTTTGCCCTTCTGGCCCCTGGGACATCCCCATCGCATCCACAGCTGCTGTTCACCCATCTATCTGCCCACTGAGAAAAACATGGTAAGTGAGGAAAAAACTGGGTGTGCAGGCAAGAGTGTAGTAGATGTCTAAGGAAATCAGGGGCCCATCTCAGTCCAAACTAGCGGGAAATGTACAGCACCGAGAAATTTTTTTTAAAAAAAAAGTTGAATCATCTCTGGATCTGCTTTTTAAGTCAAGCGTTGAAATAGGGCAGCTTCTCAAATGCTCTTGATGAAGGATCAAATCAGCAAAGGAAGAGGTAGAAGAGGTAAAAAAAAAAAGTTCTCTAGGCAATTTAAAAAAAAAATCCTCCAGTTTAGCTTTTTCTTCTACATATGTGAGTGAATTTTGAGTATTTTCAGCTAGGGCTTTTTTTTTAACTATCTGGGCAAAAGTAATATGGATGTTAAGAGGAAGCTTTGGCGCTGTTAGAGAGACAGGGAGGGCTATGAGGATCCAAAGGCGTCTGTGCTGTTTTGAGATGGGGAAGAGAACTTGGAAGAGCTGAAGGCAGGCAGACTCTCAGATTACTGCCTACGGGTGATGATTCAACATCTATGGTTGTGTCTCATTTTCTTCGCTTTCTGAAATGGATCTGATCTTGCACACGTATCCTATGCCAAGCCATCTTCCTGCTCACTAATACTTGGTGATACTTGGCTTTGCGCCTTCAATCTGGCAGGTGAATCCCTTCAACTCCCTGAATAATTGCATACTGCTTTTCTTGAATAACATAGCAGGAAGTTTCATTACACACATGGAATATTTTGGGTTTTTGCCTGACTTTTTTTTCTCAAAAAGGAACAAAGGGTGGCTGGACAGCTGCTGAGCAGACAGGAGCCTCTGAGTCAGACTCCTCAAGGCACCACAAGATCCAGACAAAGGAAGTTGCAACCTGTCTGGTTTTTTTTTTTTTCCCAAATGAGAAACAAGGAATACATTTATTATTCCTTCACCCTTGATGTTTCTTTGTATGCCTGGTGTACCTCTCCTCTGAAAAGCCACATCAGAGGAAATGTAGGAGTGGGTGAATGCTGTAAGTTGTGTTTTTAGAAAAATCCTTCCAGAACATTGCAGTAAGTCTGGCCATGGAGAGAAGACAACCCACAATAGTTTGGACTGTTGAATCTCTCAGGACCTCATGTCTTGATGCAAAAAGATTAGTTTATCAGCATGCAGATATATGTTAGCTTTCTCCACCTGAGGCCTCCAGCCTACAATCCCATCATCTCTAGCTATGCCTCTGTGCCTTGCTATAAGGGTTTCCAAAATTTTACTGGGTTTTTATAGAGATTCTAGCCAACTGAGTGTGATTAGAGGACTGAGATGCATCGATTATCTCTAGCCAATATCCCAAAGTTCTTATTTTTGCTCTGGTTCAATTCATGAGAGAGACCCATTTGGATCATCTGGATCTTTAGGTTCTTGTTTCATTTTTGCGTTGCCATCCCTGTCACACTTTTAGCTTTTTCCAGAAGTAACACACATATCAGTTTCCAGGAGTTGAGGATCAAGAAAGAGCGCCACACTGAAGATAGAAAGGAGATTCTTGAGATTATCTCCAAATAATCACAGTGATTCTAAATAGCTCCCTGGGATATAGATCATAACCCTATATATTCCATATATAATAATGTTGTTCAGGAGACATATCATTTTATGTTTTTCTTTTCATGTATGAGATAGATTTGCGAAACCAGCTGGAGTTATTTATGGGACTGTATTGGATATAGTCTGCCCCCTCCCGTCTTTCCTATTAGGTACACCAGTTGTGGATTAGTGCTATTATCTGAAACAGTTGTCATTTAGCACCAAATTGGGCTTGTTCATATGTTTTATTTGCCCAGGCTATCATTTTAACAGAGATTAAAGATCCCTGCTTATTTTATCAATACATTACTTATATATTATTAACTTAAAACTTGCAAAATGATTTTTGGGAAGATTAAAAGTATAATACCCACATACAACATGGTTACCTAAAAAATTGTGGAAATTAATTGTTACAAACATGAAATGAACACTTTGAAAAGATACATTAAATTCCATATTTGGATTGAAAGCGAGAGTTGCCGCTTCTGCTGTTTCTCAAACCAAAGTATACTCTTTCTTTAATGTTTCTCTTTAATGTTCCAAATTTTCAGACTTTTGCTTCAGGAAAAAAAAAGTGTTTGCTGAGCTTTCCTTAAGGATTAATCCATCCCCTCCCTTGTATTTATAGAAAACAACAAATATTAACAATACTTTGTTTTGAAGATATACATCTAACATAAAAGGACAATTAAAGGAAGTTTTAATTATTAAGTTATTATTAACTAAATAATATTTGAGGGGCCCTTGGTGCTCTCTGAGCTTGCTTGTTTTCTCGCAGATGTTTCATTACCCAAACTGGGTAATATCATCAGTGCTAACAAATGGGCAAATGAAACATCTGCAAGAAAACAACCAAGCTCAGAGAGCACCAAGGACTCCTCATGTCAACCCTGAGCTACAAATATTCTCCTTTATTAGTAAATAATATTTTCTGTCATTTAGTAGGGTTCTCGGCCCCTGGAGACAAAATGTAGAAAACGATCAAGCATGGCCTTACACGATCCTCAGTTGTATTGCTTAGAGTCTACTGTGACTGAAGTCATTTATTTGTTTGTAAAAAACAGACAAATAAGTAACTGGAAATTTTGCATAGTCGGAATTCTTTCTTAATAAGATCTTCTCATGTTGCTGATGAATTGACTGCTTACACATTGTCAAAAAAGAGAAAATGCATACCAAAGGTGCTGATTTGTGTCATATTTGCAGAGAGAAAGGTACTAAACTATAAATCAGTTCTGCAATTTAAGTTGAAGGATAATTCATTTAATTGTAAAGGGGAAGCCGTGACTAGGTGACCTATGTACTTCCTTAATCAGTTATGTCTGTGCTAAGATTTGGTGTACTCAGTACCACTGGTTCCCTCCTTTTTTTCATTCAATTAGTTTCAACTTTGAATAGAGACTCTCACCTTTAAAAATGGGATGTAGGGTTGCCCTAGATAAGGCTGCAGTGACCTGATCTTGAATGCCTATCTTTGTCTTCCAGGCACCCAAGAAGGCAAAGAGAAGGGCAGCAGAAGGAAGCTCCAATGTCTTCTCCATGTTTGACCAAACGCAGATCCAGGAGTTTAAAGAGGTAAGAACATGTGGGAAGAGGTGTCAATCATTAGGAAATATAACAAATGTAGTGATGCCATTAAAGGATGACTTTGGAGTAAATGATTGGACCCCAATAAGCATCGCCTAGGAGCACCACCTAGAACTGACATTCTAGGAGATTTTTAACTACATCAGTGAATATATAGGAATGAACTTTAAGAATAAAGTTCAGATTCTGTTTTCCCTTTGAAAAAATTTGCTGACTAATCACAAATTTTGGCTGTTCTAAGAGAACCTAACTGTTTCAAATGAGCCTATTTTACATATGCAGGTACGTCCAGTTTAGTTTACGCCATTGTATTGTATGAATCCCAGCGATATTTTCTCAACTTTAGCAGAAGTGACTAAGATAGAAAAGGTCTCGATAAGTTATAGAGAAGTTTTTTTTAACATGATTTACCTCCACTTGTAGGTATCTGTTCATGTATAGGACTAGTGATGGTTTGATTTGAGTCTGAACCTTTACAAAAATAGGGATTCTTTGTTCCTGAAATTCTGTCATCAAATAGAGGCCTAGCATTCATTAATTTTCCTTTCCTTTGCCTTTTCTATATTTCTATTAATTGTTGATCATGTTCAATACTTCTAAGTTTTAAAGTCATTTTCCTAATTTTATTGTCCATTCCAATATGTGTTGAATTACAGCTTCCATTGTTCACAGATAGAATGGTTGTTGTTTGGGGATAATGGGATTTATTTTTTGCCACACCTGAGGTGCCATCTTGAGGAAGGCTATTGTGAAGAACATCCTGAAGAGGGAGAGAGTGGAAATCCATAGATATTATAGGTGGACCAACTCTTTCCAAAAATGTTCTTCTGTCTCCCTATGATATGTAGGCTGAGTGTAAAGCAGGATAAAAATTGGGTTTGTAGACCATGGGTAATGGGTTATTATGATATGTAAACCTGGCCATATTTTGGAAGAGTCAAAATAATAAGCAACTATGAATGTGTGTCTCCACAAAATCCTACTTTGGAACTTAGAGCCTACTAAATGTGCATGGAAGATCAGCTTTTTACCTCCTATTAAAGTTGCTTTTCCTTTCCAAGGGTAATTCCAGGTTATTCTCCTTAGGACACCTGTTCTTTAAATTGATTTGGACTTTGAATAGAAATTCTCATCTGTAAAAGTGAGAGTGAGTACTAGCTTTCCATATGGAGATATTCTCTTCTCCTCGGACTTAAATTCTTAAACTTCATTTCAGAGGAACATTTTTTGCCCTTTGACAGGCACTAGCCCTCCACACACCCCCACCCCAAAGTTGATGGTGTTTCCTTTCCAAGACCCTTGCAATGCAGCAGGGTCTATTTTGGGTGAAGGAGGACTAAGCAAAGAGGTGACATCTGTGCTTGGATGAAGCAAATGGCAGAGCCTTACAAGGAGAACTTTGGAAACCCATTCTGGCTGGCTAGTTTGGGAGGAGGAGGAGGAGGAGGAGGAGGAGGAGGCAAGAAGCCTCCTCATTTCCATCGAAAATGAAGCCTGTGGGTCTTTCAGTCTTAGGACATCGATCTACCATAAAGGAGACCAAAGCTACATTAGAAGTAGAGTTGGTAGCAAACTATCAATAAAAGATCCTTTGGGTTTTCTTCTTTTTCCTGCAACCTATGTTTGTGCTTCTTTATTTTTTGAGGGCCTCCTGCTTTTAAAAAATATGAAAGGACAGATCAGTTCTTGCAACATGCATATGATTTTTAATTGCGTGTGTCACCTGCCCTTCCTTCAGAAAACACAAAGAACCAGACTTGCCTTCTTTGTTCCCTTCTCCTCACTTCTCTCTACAAGCATGCTGTGAGACTGGTAACACTGAAAATCACCTGTAGATCTTTGTGTCAGGATAGAACCCAGGTCCCCTTAGTCTTCAGGTGCTTCAGGTGGGCTCCTGCATGATTACATCAATAGTCTTGATGTAATCATGGAATTTCAGGAGGACTAGGTGATGATTTCCTTCATTTTAATTCTTTTGGCCTTCCTACCATTCTTTCTACCATTTTTATGTTTCCCATAAGGGTGAAAAGATTAAATTTCTACTTGGTGGAGGTAGAGTCCACTGGAAGATCCGTGGTGGAAACACAGTCTCTTAGTCTTTAGTCCCAGAGCCCCCAGGTTTATACTGCTAAAATCTATAGCAGTGGTGGCAAACCTATGGCACTCAGAGCCCTCTCTGTGGGCATGTGCGCCGTCGCCCCAGTCCTAGGCCTTCAGCTGGGTTTTATAAAACCTTTTCGCTTTAGGCCTCCGCCGCCATGTGCAAAAAAAAAAAAAAAGGTTCAATCAGTCAATTTCAACTTCTCGCAGGAAAAAAAAGATCTTGCAAAGTTGGAATTGATTGATTGAACTTTTTAGTTCCATCCAGTCTGCCGTTACCACTGCAGCCACGCCCACCCAATGGGCCACGCCACCCGGCACTTGACGATGTATAAGTGGGTTTTGGGTTGCAGTTTGGGCACTCAGTCTCTAAAAGGTTCGCCATCACTGATCTATAGGCATTTGTTGGCATTATTTTAAAGAAGTGAAATTGGCCCACGCAATAGATGAGGTATCTAATCCAAAACTGCAACTTCCATTACAGGAATGGTGTGAGTTTAAGTAACATCATGAGAGGGCATGAAGTTTGGGAAGGTTGCTTGAATACGGGCTAGTAGAAGTAACAATCTGGATATTTAGATCTAGGGATACCAGATCTGGATGGACATTCACTAGATGGCAGAAAGGGATTTTAAAACCCCCAATTATTGACTATTATCTAGCAGGCATCAGGATTTTTGCAGCCCAGCTTAATCCTGGGTTCAGCTACATTTCTCCTTGGCCAGTTTGCCTATTCAGGGATCAATTAGCTGCTTTTTTTGCTCTGCCTTTGTTGAATTTCATACTGGATTGGATCTCTTTGGAGAGATCCTGGCCTCCGGAACAGTGAAGAGGATGAACTGATGCTCTGACTCAGGATGAAGTTGTGTGTCATACACAGTATTTTTTTAGCTAGAATATTTTTTAGACTTTTGTGGGAAACAGGGTAAGTTTGCCATCAAGATTTCTAGTTATCTTTGCTTTTCTTCAGAATACCCCTTTCTGCTTTTATACCTAGAATGCAAACCTCCTCAGAGCAGAGGATCTTTTTCGCCATTATTCAGCAAGCGCTGAGTAAAAGGCAACTGGTGTGTTTTTTCCTTGAGGAAGAAGAAGAAAATGTTTCACTTCTCATCCAACAAGCTTCACCAGTTGGGATGAAGAAGCGAAATGTTTTCTCCCTCAAGGAAAAAAACAGAGCAATTGCCTTTTGAAAAAGCTCTTTTGAGACAAAACTAGGATCTGGGTGACTGAGAGTCTCCACAGACAAGTGCTGAATACATTGCTGACACTGGGGTGCTGATGTTACCTTAGCTCTCTCGGCTTCTACCCAAAGTAGTTAGGACCTTTCCTCTGTGTGTGTGTTGGGTGTGTGTCTGTTAACATGCGTTGGAAAAGCTTCCTGAGGTACTTCTCCAGCCAACATCCAAATTACAAGATTAGATTGTTGAGATGATGCAACTTCTACCCACCTATTATCGATTCTCTGGAAGATCATAGTTTCCCCTTCTTTCACAATGGGGAGAATCCATATTGCTCTTCGGATCAGGACTAAATTTACACATTATACTGAGTCTGAAAAATTTGAAAAGCAAGCCTAGTTTCTCCACACTCTTTATTTACATGCTTGTCCTTAACCAATTCCTTGGGCTTGGTTTGTTGGCTTTTGGGTGTTAAAAAGTGGAATTTGAAATCCAGGCTGGTTGTAGATTACACATTTTGACTCTCCTGAGCCTTAAGTGGTAGCCATTCTAGGTTTGGACGACACAGCAAACATTACCCTTGGATTAAAGAGCCTTACTCCCTCTGAGTAAGACACCAAGGACTTGCTTGACGGGGTGGACTTTTTGACTGATGCAGCCCCTTTCAGTTTGAAAAAAATCTAGCATTTCATTTCTATTTGGAAAGAGATAGACCCGAGAAGAAAGAAAAAAGGAGGGGGGCATACCCATAAGAGGAGGGGAGGAGTGAATTCCACCAGTGCCTGCCAGCCCTTGGAGACCTCATCAACAGCCCCTTCAGAATGTACCACCTGTCCCCTTAGGGAGGGCTTGGGGCTAAACATGAGACGGTTTAAGGTTGTTCACATTCCTGGCAGAAGCGAAGAAGGCTATCAAATGACAGGTGTTTCCAGGGCACAGCTGCAGAAAAGGGAGGAGGGTAAGGAGAATCCCACTAGCTGGAGTTAACTTGTGTCTCCAATCCTATAATGCGTTGCTAGATAGGCAGATAACTAGACAAACAACTGAGGTCTTTTTTTAATATCCAGTCCAGAATGTTTATTAGAACACTTTAATTTAAATTGTCTGGTAAACCTACTGAGCGCTAAAGAACGACTACGAGTGCCTTGAACTATGCACAGACATAAGGGAGCTACTATTTTGTGTCGAGGGTTCAGCGGCAGCTAGTTAATTTTTCGTTCCCTGCTCTCTGGAATGAGGTTCTCCCCGAGATCCAGATGGGGCCCACTTCTCTGTTGTTTAGAAAAGCCATGAAGATCTGGGCAAAAGAAGGGAGATCCCTCACTTTATCGCCTTTCTCATCTTTTTAAGTTGTATTGATTTTATTGCAATTTGTTTATCAGGAGCCTTCCAGAGTTATTGAACGCCCAGTGGCATACAAGTTTTAACTGTTGATGGTGATGATGATGATGATTACCAAACTCACTGACAGATCCTCTTTCTTTGGCTCTATATGGTTATCTCTTTGGCTGGATTTGCGTATCACAATAAGCTATCATTTTATTTAATTTGGATTAATGTATTGTATGAATCTAGCTCTTGCGATTGATAAAGCGCAATTTGTGCCTTGATGTTGCATGCGTCTGACCAAGGACGATTCTTTCAAAGCTGACTTAGCATGGTAACCAGCTAGGTCAACAATACTGAATTACTGTTATTTTTCACTGATTGGTTTCTTGAACTTTTGCTGTTACCGTGTGGTTATTTGAAATCAAAGGCTGTATCCAGTTTGCATCACTGAAGGCCAAAAGGACTTTGCACAATGAACTGGGAAGAGAGGGATACAGAAGCGACTCATTATTCAAAATCCCATAATTATTTCTCCTGCCTGGTAGACACCAGTTTTCAAAGTCAAGTTGAAATATCCTTTCTGAGAGGATATTTGTGCAAAATCAAAGATGGCAGACCATATGGCTCAACCATAAAGATGCTTATGCTATTAAACAGAAGAAATGACATACTGTTAGTTCAAGTGTAGGGTTTTATGTAGTTTTCCACTTATATATCACCTATATAATTATTAAGTAATAAATGTAGGTAGATGCATACATTCAGCAACCATATCTGTTGCAGATTGTACAAGTTTTCCTTTCATACACATTCTTTTCTTAACCCAATTCAGGAACAGACAATGTTGGGTCCTCAATTTAGATTTGGGCTACAGTTCTGGCAGGCTTCCATCACTGATCAAATTCCTGATCCCTGCTCTAATTAATCAAAGGTTCATGAATAAAGTTAAATGTAAATGAACTAAAGGCATGAACTTCATCTACAGAAAAAGCATTGCAGCTGAGGGCATCCATGAGGGAGAAAGTGGGCAAGCTGGTCTTTGTATCATTGTGATCAAAGTCCCACCTTTTTGTTCTACAAAGAGGCAGGGCTTCAACTGTGACATCACAACTGCCTGTCTTTCCACCTACCCCACGTTGCTGGTTTTGTCCACTGGCCGCTCTCCAAAACAATGTGACCAAAACAGTTTCGTCACCAGTTTAACCCTGCTGTGGGTTAATTACATGCCACTTGATATGGCAGTCCTCAGGTAATGAACGAGTTCTCAGAAAAACAGAAAAAGCTTTCTTGCTCTTCATCTTAAGAAATGAAGCCTCTACTTTGCTACATTGGGATTTGCAAACGTTGTGACAACATAACGCACACATAGTCTTAAGATTTAAACATAGATTTAAATCTAAAAGCTATTATGAAGTAGTTATTTTGCAATTTTGAGATGCTGGCAACTGTTCATTTTGGTAGGACAGGGAGAGGAAGGTAAATTTTTTATAGCCCGACATGTTGGGTTTATGTATTATGTTATGCCATTATGTGGTTTCTTTAGTTTTTACTTGGTGTAGAGTTGAACCAAGTCATTGCGAATAGGTTAACAAGCCAGTTTAATATAATGCATGAACTTGGTTAATGCATTTCTTTCTCTCCTGTTTCCTAGGCCTTCACTGTTATTGACCAGAACAGAGATGGCATCATTGACAAGGAGGACCTGCGAGATACATTTGCTGCTATGGGTAAGAAAAGAGGGAGGGGGCTGAAACAGCATCATAATGTGAGCAGTTTAAGTAAAGCTGGATGGATGATCAGACCCTTAAATCAAATCCTCAGCAGTTAAACTTTCTTCCTTTCTGCATAGGCCGCCTGAACGTGAAGAATGAGGAGTTAGATGCCATGATCAAGGAGGCCAGTGGCCCCATCAACTTCACTGTCTTCCTCACCATGTTTGGGGAGAAGCTGAAGGGTGAGCGAGTCTCTTGTTCTTCTCAGTCTTCTTCTATATGACAGATAACCTGTTCCAGCATCTCACTAGTCTTCCTGTCTTATCTCCTCAGGTGCTGATCCCGAGGACGTCATCATTGGTGCCTTCAAAGTTTTGGACCCTGAGGGGAAGGGGAATGTCAAGAAGAAATTGTGAGTGTTTCCTTCCATTTCCCTTCCAGCAGAAGCATTGAATCCGTTCAGACATAATTCTAAAATGGCTGTTACTAGGTTCCCACGATCTCCTCGTTGCAAGCACTTTGCAGTATTCCTCCTGATTAATTGTTTAAGCCACCCACATCTTCCCATTAAATTATGTCCTAGATGACAATTGGATCAGAAGTCACATATATTTAGGGCCTTTGTCACATGCCACGTTTCTTCTTGTCTCATTACAGCTTGGAAGAACTCTTGACCACCCAGTGTGACCGGTTCACTCCAGAAGAGGTAAGAAAATTTCTTTGCATCCTGCAGATGTCCCATTCTTTTCTTTATTCAATTAGAGTCCCCTTGCCCAGATCTTTTATTTCAGTTTTATTTTTCCATGTTGTCAACAATTAAATCTAAAATCTGCAGAACTAGGACAAAAGGATAAAAGGTAATATATATGAGATCAGTCTGAGGCCAAAGTCAACACTGAACTTTTTTCCAACTCAATAAGATTCTTCCAAGGATTGCACAGCACTATTCTGTTACTCCAGAATAAAAACAGATATGAACACTCACATTCTATTTGCACATAAGTCAGCTTAACCACACTTGAGCAAAACCATACTTGCAAATCAGAGACTGAGAGGATCAAGCCAGGAAAGAAATCTATAACAAACTAGAGCAGTGGTGGCGAACCTATGGCACGCATGCCAGAGGCAGCATTCGAAGCCCTCTCTGTGGGTACACGTGCCATTGCCCCAGCCTCGCCTTCCCCCATGACCCCCTCCTCACCAGCAGCCCCCCTGGAGGAGAGTCGCCCCCGAGCGTGGCCCACACAGAGCAGCGCAGCCAAGGACATGGCAGCCAGGCAGCATAGACAAGACTCTGCCCTCATGCCCCAACGTGCAGTTGATGCTGCGGGGCGCGGGCCGAGGGCGTGGCCACCATGGCACTGCTGGGCTGCCTGGGCGATCTGCAGCGGGCCCTGGAGGCAGTGAGTGACCCTGCGGGCAGGCGGGGTGGGGGCGGAGCGGCGGTGGGGCAGGGGGTGGAGCGGGGTGGGGCCAGCTTTTGGGCACTCGGTCTCTAAAAGGTTCGCCATCACTGAACTATAGTGTTCTCCTTTAACAGAAATCTGAATCCTGAATAGCACATTAAACAAAGCATTTATGAGATATCCTTCTTTTGTTAGCCACCCATAACTTTTCTTGAGCAGTGCCAAAAGGCACAATCATCCTCTTTCATGGCTAAGGAGCTGGCTGAGGAATTCTGGGAGTTGAAGTCCATAAGTCTTAAAGTTGCAAATTTTGGAGAGCCCCTGATTTAGAGTGACCATTGAAAACATTGAAAGTCATCAGCTGCAATCCTATCGCTTCTCAACATAATCTTCTCTCTTTCTGGCAGATCAAGAACATGTGGCACGCTTTCCCTCCAGATGTAGCTGGCAATGTTGACTACAAGAACATCTGCTATGTCATCACACACGGAGAGGACAAGGAAGGGGAATAAACCCTGATTTTTTTTTTCACCCTTGCTTTGTGGGGAGATCCACCTAGACACCCCCAGGCTGGGGGATTTCATTTATGCTGGTCCCTGATGATCCACACTTTTGTAACCAAACAACAAACATCTCAATCTGTTATTTATTATCTTATGGGGAGAAAAATTATACCCCCCCACAAAACTGACCCTTTTCACTACGACTAGTCTTAACCTAACTGGGACTTTGCTCCGTCAAATGTCTTAATAAAGATGAGGACAGCTCTGTTTCTAATGCCCTTGTTTTCACAGTCTGCTTGTCTGCTCAGGCCAGAAGAACGTTAGCACCGATTCGAATGATGCCCCTATTCCCATTTTTAAAACTAATTTAGCTTCAAGGTCTGAATGTGATCGTTTTTCTTCCTTTTAGGGCTGTGATGGTTAGTTAATTAATTAACTCAGTTTTTTTTGTAGTGTGTCCGGTACAATTGTTAGAAAATAGTTTTGAGACACATCCTTACAGTCTTAAAAGATCATTCCTTCTTCTGTGAAAGAAAATGAGACAAGATCACCTCTTATGTTGCTAGTACTAGAGACATCTAGAAGAAAAGAATGTCTGCTTCTGGATTCAAAACAAGTTGTTTTTAACCTATAATTCAATTTAAAGAATTATTTGATTAAAATAACCTAATTAATCATGCAAAATTTTTAAACTCAGGTAGCAGGCCTAATATTGCTTCACTTACACATTTATTTTAATATGTTTTCCCAGCCTCATCCTTGGTGAAGGATATTATGCTTCAATAATACTTAAAGTATATTGTCTGTTGCTCTTATACTAATGACTGATTGCCCTACGTGCTGAGTTTCATGTTTACATAACTGTTAGTTCACTAAATCCATTCATGCCTTTTCACCCAGAGGTCTTTTTTTTAAAAAAAAAGTATTGTGGATTTTCCCTCCCCTGGAGATAATCTACCAAGAGGGGGAAGGTAATTGTTGGTGATGTTTAAAATCAAAGCCAACAGTGCAGAGGGGTGAACAAAAATGGAAATTGCTTCTCCGCTCTGGCTCTTCCTTTCCTTCTCAATCAGCTGTTTGTGACAGGTGGAGTGGGGTGAGGTAATGAGAGGAAACATGGTTCATTTTACAGGCTTTTGAATTAACTGAGGATCCTATTTTATAAGGAGTCTGATGCAGAATAATTCTAGCTCAGGCTACTGGATCGGTGCTGCAAAAATTAGCCAAACGTGCAGAAAAGGGTGAGGATGGTCACAAGTGGCATCTGGATTGTTGGTAGCTCTATTCTAACTTTACATATTATTCTTATTAGGGGGAATTAAAGCAAAGGTAAGTGATAGGAAGTTTTCTCCCCATGCTTATAATGCTCATAAACTGGCAAAATGAGGGTTTTTAAGTAGCAGAGCAAGATGATTTATTGATCTTGGCTTCACAAAGGTTGCCGCAAATTCAAGGAGGAGAAAGCCACTGGAGGGATTTTTCAGAGAATTAGATTTGAGGCTTTCTAAAGTGAGCTCAAATTCATTCTGTCTGGAAAGAAAATCCCAGGAAGCCTTCAGTTAGCCTGGTTGTGATTTGCTCTGGAAAGTGTTAATAGTGCTGAGGAATGCAATAGACTAAGAGGTGAGATGTGATGAAAATCGAGAGTACCACAATTTGGGTTGGGCAACTCAAGAGATTGGACATATGTAAAGATGCATGACAAATGTGGGGTGGAAGACGAGCAGTGCTGATGTTGCTGGCCACAACAACTTTGACAAATGACAATGGAGCAACTAATTTTTTTTAAAAAAAGATTTATTTGGCCAGCTTAGCGAAATTGATTGCAGCAGGCATGCAAGGCACAGATTCAGAGAAAGTGGAAAGGGAATGGCGTACATTTTATTGCTGTCAAAAATCACATATGCTGAAGAAGTTACGACAGCAAACCTAGTTGCCCTCCCTTCAACCCTGATGCTGGTTCTGTTCCAATGATCCTGTGAAAGGAAATAATCCTTTTAAAAAATCCCTAGGGAGGTTTTGCCAAGCAAACCCTGTACAAAAAATTTCCCCTTCCAGAAATTTTGGAGTACAACTCCCATCATCCTAGATCAGCACAGTTAATAAGCAGCAGGTGCAACTTAGCCCCTGTTACCCCTTCAAACCTGTTCGACTACCCATCTCCCAAAGATTTTCATGGGACTGGTTGGTTGGCTGTCCCATCTCGCCTCAGAAAACAAAATTGCGCAGTGATGGCTTGGGAGTCTGATCCCGGCTGATTTTGAGGGAGAAGTCTACCACTTTGGCTGATTGGGTGAGGCAACCCAGGGAAATCACATCAATATTGGGCCCCACAAAGCGGATCACATTCTGCTCGGTGATTCCTCCACTAGCTTCAATCGTCACACGGGGGAATGAGGCCTTTACGGTGCTGGCTGTAGGATGCAAGTCCTGCAGGAGAAGATAAGAGAGATGAACAAGAGGATGAGACCTTTGCAGTCTTACGATGATGACGATACCTATCAGAGTTTGGGATATATGGAATATGAGGTCCAAACTGAGAGCAAGCCAAGGGAGGGAATGGTCCCACGTGAGACAAGATTATTATTTTTTAATACACATGTAATCTTTTTTTTTTTAAAAAAAAAATAATATTTTTTTTTATTTTTTCAAACTCTCCCCTATACATATACCGTGATATTTATCAGATGTTAACATACATTCTTTTTACATTCTTATATATAAGATACTTTTAATGAAATAAATACATACACATGACTTTTGGTGTTGCTCGCCCATTTCCCCTTTCACTGCATCCACACTCCTTCTTCTCTACCTTCTTTCTCCCTTTCTTCTCTTTCTTCCCTACTTCCCTCTTCTTCCTCTCCTCTTCTCTTTCCTTCACCACTCTCTCCTCCAACCTTCCTACTAATACACATGTAATCTGAGGTCCTGAAGATCTCTCCAGAAGCAGAACCTTCACCAATCATGTTTTGTTCAAGGGTGGAAGATATCCACATCAAAGCTTTGCCCACATCGTGAGTGTAACCAGCTTTACTGTAAACATGTTTGTATGCCATGTTTCACTATGTAAAACCCTTCAAAGAACAACTGTCATGTATAGTGACACATACATATTCTAAATAAATAATACAATTAAACCAAACCCTGCAGCAACCTAATTCCTGTTTCCAGGAAATGGCAGCTGGTTATAATTATTTTTTTTTTTTTGGGGGGGGGGGGGAGATTTCAGAAGGAAGATGCAGTCTTGAGCCTGATGCTTTTAAAGCAGCCCTCTTGATCTTTGAAACTATATTTTAGCTTCCAAATGTCACTATTTCGACCAAAATCAATCCAAAAGAACCAAACCAAAGATTGCGAGATCTGTTTTGTTATTATTATTTTTTTAAAGAAAATCAGTCATAAGTTCTAGTTTCTAGATCTGCCCCATCTTCTCTCAGCCAAATACCTCAGGAGCAAAGTTGTCCAGCATGATAATATCAGCACCACACCCTGATGCTTCGAGAGCTTCTTCTAAGGAGCCACACTCCACTTCTATTTTCAGGGCAAACCCACCGACCCGTCGGGCATTGTGAACTGCCTGTGGGATTGCAAACATTGTGATATCAGCAGCAGTCCAGATTATATGTTGATGCCTGCAGAAGCTTGAGCTAACCTTAGGGATGCTAATGCCAGCCATTTGGCTGGATCCTCCATGAAAAGGTCTCCTGTAGAACAGGGGTCCCCAAACCTCGGTCCAGGGGTGGGCATCGGTCCGTGGCATGGCAGAAACCCGGCTGTGCAAAAAAGCGAAGCCCCATCCATGGGATGCAGGTAGCACATGAAGCCACACCCCCTCTCATCTGAGGAAAAACCTCTCTCCATGGAACCGGTCCCTGGTGCCCAAAAGGTTAGGTGCCGCTGCTATAGACAGGTGGTCTCCTATATTGGGTTCTTTGAGGGTCACTATGAGGCCTGCTTAAGCTTGGATGCAGCTTCTAATTTTGCAAACCAGGTTTCCCAACCTTGGCAACTTTAAGACGTGTGGACTTCAATTCCCAGAATTCCCCAGCTATCAAATCTGGCTAGGGAATTCTGGGAGTTGAATTCCACATGTCTTAAAGTCGCCACGGAAAGGAAATCCCGCTATAAACAGTCCCAGCCAACAAAAGGAGATTATTTTTTAAAAAAAAATTAAAATAATGATTTTCTCTATTTCCAAAGGTGCAGTCAGTCTGCAACAATTTAAATTAAATTATTAATAAAATATAAAAACAGTCAGTTGTAACAGCAAAAAGGTCCTGCCAGGTCAAAAAAGCTAAAATGATTCTGAATCTGTCCACTGTTGTTTGTAAACTATAGTTTATAGCTCAATATAATTTTCAATCTAGATAACAAGTGATGGTTAACAAAATTGAGACATACGTCCCGTTGACACTACATTATCATGTAGCACACGCAGTAGTACAAAACTAAATATTATCTAAAGATTGTAATCAGTGCTAATTTTAAGACCAACACCAATTTGTTGAATAATGCAGAGAAGTTAAGGTTACTTTTTTTTTTTTTTTACTGAGTCTATTATTGGATTTAGGCATTTCTTTTAAAGGCTGATTTGTATAGCTTCCAAAGCTGGACTGCAACACTCAGATCAACCACTGGGGGCAGCAGAGAGATATGGAAAACCCTTATTCTCTGCTGCCCTTTAGCAATCATTCAGAAGATTGCAGTCTTGATCACAATCATTGTATGATATGAATACCTTTGCTTTTGTGTACTCACTTGGGTAATACTGCCAGACGCCCAGATATGGTTGTCCTTCAACATGATGAGGCTTCCCAGATCGTAACGGTGACAGGAGGCTCCCCCGACCAGAAGTGCATATTTTTCTGGGAGACGGAACCCCGGGGTGGTCTTCCTTGTCCCGGCGACCTCTCCATGCCACCCAGCTTCCTGTGCTGCCCGACAAGCTTTTGCTGCTGATGTGGCAACACCACTGCAGCGCCCCAGACAGTTCAGTGCCACTCGCTCACCCAGCAAGAGGTCATTGGCACGACCGTGGACTTCAGCCACTCGGGTGACAGGTTCAACCCAGGTTCCTTCGGTTTGGAGCCATTCCACCGAGCAGCCGACTTCGGCAAAGATGGCATCAAAGAAAGGGAAACCAGCCAAGACTCCGGGGGATTTACAGAAGAGCACAGCACACACCTGATGGTTGCCCACGGCGTAGCCACCATAGTCAAAGCTGGGACCATCTTCTTGCAGCCAATCTCGGGCGAGCTGACGCAGTCGGGCGGCAGGGAGAAGGTGTGAGAGGTTTGGGTGGGAAGCCATGACGACTAAAAGGAAACCACAAGGATGTTGGCAAAGTTGTACCAGACCATACGGGTAGTCCTTGGCTTACAACAGTTCATTTAATGACTGAAGTTACAACGGCACTGAACAAAGTGACTTATGACCGTTGCAGCATCCCCCCATGGTCAGGTGATCAAAATTCAGACACTTGGCAACTGACTCATATATATGACCAGGGCTTTTTTTCTCAGAGAAAAGGTGGTGGAACTCAAACGTGGCCACGCCCTCATCAAACCCTAGGACCGCCCCTTTAGAGAACAGGAATGCAAGTAAAATTTGGGAGGGGCTATTTCCGGTGCGGCCGGCCCGGAAAAAGGTGCCGGAACGCGGTTCCGCCGCGTTCCGGCTGAAAAAAAGCCCTGTATATGACAGTTGCAATGTCCCGGGGTCATGGGGTCCCCTTCTGACAATAGGGAAGCTGGATTCACTTAACAACTATGTTACTAACTTTAACAACTGCAGTGATTCGCGTAACAACTGTGTCAAGATAGAAAGGTCGCAAAACGAGGCAAAACTCAACAAATATCTCACTTAGCAACAGAAATGTTGGTTCAATTGTGGTCATAAGTCAAGGACAAACTGTACAGGCACAGTGACTACAATTAGGATCAGAATTCCCATCGTTAAGCAAGGCCATTGTTAAGTGAGTTGTGTCCCATTTTACATTATTTTTTTTGCCATGACTGTTGTTAAGCAAATGTTGTTGGTTAATGCTGGCTGAGCCTGAGTGCAGCGTAAGGAGTGTATATGTTATCCCTGCTACGGTTCTTAAGTGTTTCCCATCCAAAAATGGGGAAAAGTATCTTTAAAATTAAGTGGGACAGTTCAAGGACACGGGGTCAGAAAAGAAACTAGGAAATTGCATGTCGTGATGCAGCCAGAGGGATGGCCTGGCCCAGTTTCAGAACTCCAGCAGGTACACAAATTCTCACTTCTGACTTCTAGGCTCAGATTTTGAGATAACTACTAAACACTCAGTTAACTCTCTGTGACTTTTAAGAGTCTGGCTCAAAATGCAACTGAGTATTATTATCGTATACAGGTGCAAAGAAGAGCAACTAAGATGATTAAAGGCCTGGAGACAAAAATACCTGAAGAACAGGAATTGGGTATAGCTAGTCTGGAGAAAAGGAGTACTGGGGGAACAGGATAGCAGTATTCCAGAATTTGAGGGGCTGCCATAAAGAGGAGGGGGGTTCAATTTTCCAAGCACCAACAGGCAAGACACAAAACAATGGATGGAAACTAATCAAGGAGAGAAGCAACCTGGAATTAAGGAAAAACTTCTTAACAGTGAGAACAATTAACCAGTGGAACAGCTTGCCTTCAGAAGTTGTGCGTGCTTCACCACTGGAGGCTTTTTAAGAAAAAAATTGGACAGCCACCTATCTGAAAGGGTATAGGATCTCCTGTTTGAACAGGGGGTTGGACTAAAAGACCTCCAAGATCCCTTCTAGCTCTATTCTGATAGATTGAGGACAATTAACTAGTGGAATGGTTTGCTATCAGAAGTTATGGGTGCTTCATCACTGGAGGTTTTTAAGAAGAGACTGTCTGAAAGGGTATAGACTAGAGCAGTGATGGCAAACCTTTTAGAGACCGAGTGCCCAAACTGCAACCCAAAACCCACTTATGCATCGTTGGGTGCTGGGTGGGTGTGGTCCATTGGCTGGGTGTGGCCAATTGGTGGGTGTGGCCCACTGGGTGGATGTGGCTGTGGTGGTAACGGCAGACTGGGTGGGACTAAAAAGTTCAATCAATCACTTCCAACTTTGCAAGATCTTTTTTTTCCATGAGAACTTGAAATTGACTGATTGATTGAACCTTTTTTTTTTTTGCACATGGTGGCGGAGGCCTAAAGTGAAAAGGTTTTATAAAACCCAGCTGAAGGCTTAGAACTGGGGCGATGGCGCGCATGCCCACAGAGAGGGCTCTGAGTGCCGCCTCTGGCACCCGTGCCATAGGTTCGCCACCACTGGACTAGAGTCTCCTGTTTGAGCAAGGGGTTGGACTAGAAGACCTCCAAGGATCCTTCCGCCTCTATTCTAATTGATTTGTGACCATTCATTTAGTGACTGCTCAAATTTACAATGGGGCTGAAAATAGTGACTTACAACCAGTCCCTGCACTTAAAACCATGGCAGTGTCCCCAAGGTGATGTCATCAGAATTGGGGTGTTGGGAACTGGCATGGATTAACAACAGTTGCAGTGTCCTGAAGTCACGTGATTGCCATTTGCAACCTTCCGGAGGCTTCTGACAAGCGATGTCAGTGAGGAAAGAGAATTTATTTAACAATTGCATGTCCCTTAATGACCATGATGATTTGCTTAACAACCATGTCAAAAAAAGGCCGTAAAACCAGGCACGACTCATTTAATGACCACATCATGTAGTGACAGAAGTTTTAGTCACAATTGTGGTCATAATTTGCGGACTATCTACACAAGTGATACTGATCCTCTCACTCCAGAATCCCTCACAAACGTTTCTGATTCAAATCAATTTTACGGAAATATTCTAAGTTACCAGATCTTTTTCATCCAAAATGAATGTGTTAGTCCCAGTAATTCCCATTGCAGAGAGAAGCCCAAATCAATAAAGTTGGTGTGTCAGGAAAAGTTAAAAAGACACAGATTAACAATTATAATTACTCAAGAAACTGTGGCTAAACAAATCATTCATTTTCCACAAGAGTTTAGCACCACACATGAACTCTGTTATTTGCTTTCCTCAAAACTGTGGCTTTAAATAATTCTTATAGCCTCCCAATAAATTCTTAGGAAGCTTATTCTGTAATTCCTCACCTATTCAATGAATTTAAAAAAGTTACAGTATTGTACCTTTTGGAAGTTTTTTCCTCAAAAAGGGCAACAAAGACATGTATAAAATTTACCTCCTAAAGAAATGGGTACTTGATTCTACTATTTTCCCCCTTAAAGGATAAGCTAAGAGAAGATTTGCAATCTCTGCCAGTTTAGTGCCACTCCTCGACAGACATGATCAAATCTTAAAACAGCCCGGGGGAACAAGGCAACCCGTTAAACCAGTGAAACATCCCACAAACAAATAAAGAAACATAAAATCTCAGGAAAACTACTGTATTTCCGGTTGATTGCCAGGGAAAGGAAAAGGACATCATGTAAAACAGTGCCGTGGTCCTTTTTGGTTACCTCTTGATCTTCATTTTACACTGATCAACCCTGCTCTTTATTTCTCTCTAGATCCCACTTGTGGCAAATTAAAAGGGGGAGGGGGCAGCTGCTCACCTGAAGGTCTGGTCTAGGCTTCCTGGTATCGTCCGCTCTGTAGCCTTTTCTCTTGCCCAACTAGTTGTACTAAGTAAATTTTTGGAATTCCTGGGAGGTGGGAGGCTCCGAGGAGAGGGGTGGGATTAGAACCCTGATGATTCTTTTTGGCACTTTGGACCTTAGCTGTTTAAACAAATCTCTTCCACAGCAGCTGGAGATCCCGCGACAGGCGGCTCAGTTGACAAAGTTCCTTTGTGGGAATAAAGATTTTAAGTTCTCCTAAAAGGATAGGAGAACTTTGCAACATCCCTGTCAAGGAACAATTATTGGACACTGGTTGCACATCAGCACAGGTTTCAATGACACCCAGATAAATTTGCAATCCTAGCACATTTCCTTGGGGGAAAAAAGTCCAGCTGAATTTTGCAAGTATTATTGTACAAACAGGTTCAAAAATCAGAAGATACCCTGTAGCGCCTCTTTTTAACTATCCTTACAATTTTGAGAAGAAATATAACAGCAAAAGATGTTAATTGACATTAAATTGTATTTCTAAATGATGGGACGTCATCTTATGAAAAGCAATGGCTTTATCAAGCCTGGGTCTTACAAAGAAAATAAACTTGCAAAGATGGAAAGAAAGTCAGCTTCCTGATGTTTAGGAATGGATTTGAGACATGTTTGTTATTGATTTTTGAAATGTTATTATATTCTAAAAATGAAAAGATGAAATGGTATGTTTTTATATGCTGTAGATTTAACAGTAAGATTAAGTATTAAATTCAATTATATGAATATTTATTTTTCAGTCGCCATAGCCACTCATCTCAATCACTTTGGTCAGCTTACAATTAAAAAAAATATTAAAATTAAAATGCTAAAAACATTTTACAATAAAAAACCATAAAAACAAAAGAAATATGTCCTGTGTGGATCTTATTACTTTTTGTTGTTGCTTTTATTATTTTATTTTAATCACTATGTATGTAGACTTTTCATATTGTATAATCATTAGTATATTTTGTGGCTTGATATCTTTTTAATTAAAAATCTATAAGCTAAAATAAAAAAGCTGCAATAGGCCAATTAATTGTGTAAAATTTTTATAGTACTACAGCCAAAGCTTTTCAACTTAATTCAAAGTATCTTCTTCAGTTTGGACTCGAATACAGTAGTTGTTTACCTGGGATAAATCCTTTAGAAATTGATTGGAATTCCTTATGAAAACCTCTTTATGGACCTGGTCTGTTGGCTCAGCATCTGATAATAGAAGCTGAAGTCAAAGTACAAACAAATAATCCCTAACTTTAGCGACTGTTTCTGGAAAGCAATTCTCACAGAATTGTCCTCTGCAATACAAAGAACTCACTTTTCCCCACATTTTTACTGACTCTGCTGTAAAGGAGAAATTAGTGTACTTGTGGGACTAATGTGACATGCAAAAATTAAGTTTCCAAATTAGTGTTTCTCAACCTTGGCAACTTTTAAGATAATAGAATAACAGAGTTGGAAGGGACCTTGGAGGTCTTCTAGTCTAAACGCCTGCTCAGGCAGAAAACTCTATACCATTTCAGACAAATGGTTGTCCAATCTCTGCTTAAAAACCTCCAGTGTTGGAGCATCCACAACTTCTGGAGGAAAGTTGTTCCACTGATTAATTGTTCTCACTGTCAGGAAATTTCTCCTTAGTTCTAGGTTGCTTCTCTCCTTGATTAGTTTCCATCCATTGCTTCTACCTTCAGGTGCTTTGGAGATTAAAGCCGACATATCCAATTCCTGCAACCGTTCTTCATATGTTTTAGCCTTTGATCCCCTAATCATCTTTGTTGCTCTTCTCTGCACTCTGTGTGGACATGCTGGCTGGGGAATTTTGGGAGTTGAAGTCCACACATCTTAACACTGCCAAGGTTGAGAAACACTGGCCTAGATAAGCCGGTATGCTCAGTTGCTATTAAAAACATGACAACAGGCTCAGAGCCAATCTACAATAAGGGATCACAAACCAGATTTCAGCCATCGTATCAATCTGGCTTGCTGGTTAGCTCAGCCAGGCTATTTTGGCTGGGGATCAAGGCATCAGACAAAGTAAGTCTGATCATAATCTTCCCAATTTCCTCTGGTGAAAGATAAAGTTTCCGAATTGAGCTCAATCTGATGACTCTGTGGCCACATTAGGGGGGGTTTTGGGGCAATGTTGCAGTCTCTCGTGGCCTTTTTCTAGGATATTTTCCAGTTTCACCCAGGAGGATGCTGGAAATCTCCTATCCAAGTTAAGGAGTCTGACACTGCAGTGCTGAAATCTGAGTTAGATCTGCCTGATATAACTTATCTCGGGACTACAGAGTTTAAAACAGGCAGGAGATCAATAACAAAAAGTTTTCTGGGAGAGAGAAGGAAAAAATGAGTTATTCACACCCAACCCACTATTCAGGACTTGAGAACAACCACACTCCCGATATTGCTGGTCTACCACTCCTAGCAACCCTCAGGCTCTGACCTGCTACCAGGGGATGCAATACTAAGCTTTTCAGAGGTTACCAACCCACAGCATCAGTTTACTAACATCTGATATTCTCCACTCCCCTCAAAATGCAAGCACCTTAGTTGGGGATCCCACTTCACCTTTGTTTTGACTCCTGAAGCTTTCCCTCACTCTGTTACTATTTATTAAGAAAAGGAAACTTTAATTATTTTATTGAAATCAACATTTCTCTAGAGAGGGCAAATCAGCCTGCAGGGTTCCTATGGACTAGCTGTATGGGAAGGCTGTAAATTGTTTTATAGGGAACTAAACTTCCAATAGAAGAAAAATTAATAAGTGAACTAATTTTTTATTTTCCTCCCCACTTGAATGTATAAAAAGCAACTTTTTTTCTTTGCAAACTGAAAGTTTCCAAAAGTATTTCTATAATCTCCTCATCAGGCAGAATGGATATAGCCACTACAAGTTATTTATCCTGCCTTTATTATTTTCACAAATACGTAAGTCAAGGTGGTGAACATATCCAACAGTTTCCTCCTTCTATTTTCCCCACAACTACCCTGAGCCAGTTGGGATGAGACAACTGATAAGATAAACAACTTGTCTGAAATGGTGTAGACCGGGTCTCCTGCTTGAGCCAGAGGGTTGGACTAGAAGACCTCCAAGGTCCCTTCTAGCTCTATTCTGATTGATTGAATGAATGAAAGCAACTGGCCCAAAGCCACCCAGCTGGCTTTCAAAGCTAAGGCAGGATTTGAACTCACGGTCTCCCGCTGATTGATAGGAAAGGGGAAAAAATGATAAAAAGTGGAACTAAAAGGCTTGTGTTGAGGCCATGCCCGCAACAGATTACAGTTTTATACAGAAAAAAAAATCTTTTAAAATCTTTTCTCCCCTCCCCCACATACTCCGCATACTAGCCTTTGTTTCCATCTACTGTATTGTTTTCTTCCTTTTACTTAGATCTTCTCTGATTGGATGAAATCAGGCGCAGATCTCCGCCCCTCTAACTTCCTTCCTTTTTGATTGGTTACAGAACTCGGCGTGTGTTTTGATGGCTTCCTTTGAGCGAACAGGGCTGCTGACGTCACAACCCTGCTAACCAATGAGAGCCCAGAGGACTGCCTCTTGTTGATTGGCGGAGAGACAGGGTGAACCCGGGAAAAAAACTCCCGCGTTCTAGCTGGAGCCGCGTGTGTTGTGGGGTTCCCTTGGGTGGCTCTCCAATCTGGGATCGGCAGAAATCCAGGTGGGTGCTGTTTTTTTATCCATTTAGCACCAAACATACTGGGGGGGGGGGTTTAAGTTCAGTAATTGCACAGAAAATGAGATTTCATCCAGTGCTTGATTGAATTTCATGGAATTTATGGCTTGCGAAACTCCCTTTAAATTCTAGAGGGCAGCAAGACGTTAACCTCTCTGTTGCCATCTAATGATCGTCCAGGATTTTGCAGTCCAGATCCAGGAGTCCCGGTTAATGATGAGGATGATTTGTCTGCTAGCCTTAAAAAATAGGATAAAAAAGACGGGGAGAAGAAATCAGCCCAGTTAGTAGTTCTGCAGCTTCTGAGGCTGGAACTGGTTTAGAAAAAGAAACATATTTTGGAGTGGTAAAAGGTGAAATCCTTGGAGCAAGGATTTATACTTGGTATTATTATGGTAAGTCAAAATCAAACCTCCAGTGATGGAGAAACCGACTGATATTCAGTTTCCTTTAGTTGTTTTAACTCAAAAGCTGCCATGGATTGTTTTAATGTCCTAATCTGCTTTATTCCTTGCATATGAAACTGCCACACAAGGGTTGCAAAGAAGTTGGTAGCCCATGGAACTAAATAAGAATGGCATTTTGCCGTGGTGATAGATGATCAGAAATCCCTCTCATTTGCTGAAAGTGCATCTTCCAAAAGTTAAGGTTTTGAACCCTGCTTTTGAGGAGGATAGCCTTCTGCATATGCTTAGAGGCACTCCTTCCTTGGGTGATTGAGATGTAAGCCCTCATACTGAAAGTAAGCCTTTATTCCTGGGGATCAGCTTTGGAAAGTCTTGAACTCAGGTTAAGCCCAAATTTGAGGATGTAAGGATTAGTGAATTGGAAAAGTTTGGAAATTGGGATGAAACTGGATTTCTGCTGTCTTGGAAGCATGTCTAAATGAATCGGAGAACACTGGGGCAGCTGCTTCACCCAGGACAATTTTATGGGAAAGCTCCACTAGGACCAGACTCCATCCTGGCCTAACAGATGAAAAGGGCATATTAACATTCATCATCTCAGAAAAGGGCAATTTTTTCCAAACCGTAGGCCCTACATGGCCTTTAAGTGGAGTGCCAGGTATTGTGCTCTAAAAAGGTTAGGGATGGCTGGGATAAACAAATGATTTGATTTCCATTTTTTATGTATAATTGAAATTAAATACGGTGATTATTCTCTAATTATGTTTTTAATACTTTTCTAGAGTAAATATGGTTAAAAACTAGAAGTTTCTGGAGACCACATCTAAACTTTTGAGGATATTAAGAGTGCTCTGACATAGCAAAATATCCCATACCTATAGTATAGGTAGGCCTCAACTTACAACAGTTTGTTTAGTGATCGTTCAAAGTTACAACAGCACTGAAAAAAAGTGAGTTATGACTGTTTTTCACACTTACAACCTTTGCAGCCTCCGCATGGCCGGGTGATTTACATTTGGGTGCTTGGAGACAGGTTCATATTTAGGATGGTTGGCGTCTTGGTGTCAGGTGATCACTTTTTGCGAGCTACCAACCTGCAAAGGAGATCAATGGGGAAGCCAGATTCACTTAACTGTGTTACTAATTTAACAACTGCAGTGATTCACTTAACAACTATGGCAAGAAAGATCGTAAAATAGAGCAAAATTCACTTAACAAACTTCTGGCTTAGCAACAGGAATTTTGGTCTCAGTTGTGATCGTAAGTCGAGGACTACCTGTATTGATTTTTATGTAGGAAATGTGTTACAGGAGAATGTCTGAAATAGTATCTCTTGTTTTTGGCAAACCACTTTATTAAACCTTCCTTCCTTCCTTCCCTCCAGGTGTAACTGATCATGGCATCATCAGAGAGGGATAAAGGGAAGGAAGAGGACTCAAATGCCCAGTTTCAGGCCATTGTTGGCGAGGAAGGGAGGACAGCCTGCCAGACCTGCAAACATGAAATGCGTGTAAATCCATCGGATCCTCAGCAGCACATGTCCACCAATGCACAAGACAGCACCACAGAGTCTTCTGTGTCCCAGACTGGCGAAGAACATAGAGTTTCAGAGGATTGTGGTCTTGCCAACGCCATTTTCAAAAGGACAGAGGTAACAGAGCTTCTGTTGTATTTGCTCACCCACAATCATTTGCTGCATCTCCACATCTATTGCATTGAGGCCTTAATTTATATATTTATGCATCTCTCTCATTCATCATTAGTCACATCTTCAGGAACTTCCTGAGCCTTCTTTGATCCTGAGAATTTCTTGGGAGGCTGTAAGAATTATTTAAAGCCACAGTTTTGAGGAAAGCGAATGACAGAGTTCATATCTGGTGCTAAACTATTATTTGTTTAGTCATAGTTTCTTGAGTAATTATGATTGGCGGTATGCAAAAACACTATGCTTAGACCAAGCCAATTATACAGTTAGAACAATCAGTGGAACAGCCTGCCTCCAGAAGCTGTGAATGCTCCAACAATAGAAGTTTTTAAGAAGAGACTGGACAGCCATTTGTCTGATATGGTATAGGGTTTCCTGCCTGAGCAGGGGGTTGGACTAGATGACCTCTAAGGTCCCTTCCAACTCTGTTATTGTGTCATTCTGTTACATGGCAGCTTACTCTATAGACAAATCTGATCTCTGTGAACTTTCTTGTCTCCTAGATACTGCCGTTTAGCTTGGGGCTCCAATGGAGGAGCATCACAGTGGTGGTGATCGATTGATTAATAACAGATCTCACCTCCCCTCAGTCCTGCTCCCACCCTGCCCATCTTTAATTGGGCCCATAGTATTTGCTTGTGTATTAACTTAACGTTTTTAGTTTATACAATTTTTATCTTTTATGACCGTACGCCGCCCAGGGTTACCCTGTGGTAAAATGGGCACCCAGTAAAATTTATAAATAAATATATTTTATAAATAAATATTTAATTTAAAAAATCTTAACCAGTATCCAACAAATTGTGAATCTTTTCTTAACTGCAAATTGCCCTAAAAAAATGAAGTAGTGATTATAAGAAGCTGCGACCCATTATTGTTTTTGTTTTTATTTAATGCTCAGACACAGAAAGAGTCTATACCACAGAAAGATCCATTTTAAATTTTGCTCTGCCCTCCACTGCAAGCATACCTCTAACTTCTTATTATCCAGTTGTAAACAGGCCATTGCAAAGGAGTGGGACCATTTTCTTATTCCCAACCAGTTAAATATTGACTTTACTCTGATTTTCCTTGCCAGCCCTTGCACACCTGCTCAACGAAGATGAACGAGGGAAAAGTAGATGAGGCAGTAGTGACTAATGGGCCCAGCACATCTCAAGCACCATTTCAGTTTAGTGCCAATCCCACTCTGGAAGACATGTGAGACACCCCTTTATATCACCCCCACTTACCCCTAATTCATGCCGCTTCCTCTTTTTGGAAGGGGTGCATATGAAAGATCTCTCCCTCTGCGGCCTTCTCATCTTCTCTTCCACTTTGTCTCCTGCAGCCGGAGCCTCCAGTCGGCCTTCGCAGCTGAGCGGGACTGGGGAAAGTACCACCAGCCCCGGAATCTGCTTCTTGCTCTGGTTGGGGAAGTTGGGGAGCTGGCAGAGCTCTTGTGAGTATAACAATCTGTGGAGTGGGGGGAAGAGATGGGGAGGTAGATCCCGAAATGCCTTCTTGGGGACCACAAGGGTCCCACCCACTAGGACAGACATGTCAAACACAAGGCTCAGGGGGCGGGTGTGGTGGTTTCATGTGGCCCGCGAAGCCATCCTGGAAACAGTGAGGGAACGGCCCCTGCTTCCTTGGTGCTGGCCCAGGCCGGCCGGGAGCCAATGTACAATTTTGGGGTGGTCATCTATGCTGAAACACATTCAGTATTAGCTTCACAAGGCCGTCTGGAAACAGTGAGGAACCAGCCCCTGCCGCTTCAGCCCCGCCCCCTGGGTGCATGCTGGGGAGGTGTCCCCTACTTCACATATCTGGCTTGATGGGCTCCGGGGGAGGGGTTTCAGCAGGCAGTGAGGCTCCTCCAGTGGACCATGCCTTGGCACTTGCCCTGGTCCCACCCCCTTCTGCCAGAGACCCTCAGATCTGTCCCACTCCTGCCCAGGCCTCCATAGGCACCCTTGACGTGAACGATGTAGAGCTGGCCACGCCCACCCAGTAGGCCACACCCACTCCATCTACACACACCCAATAGGCCACACACACCCTAGCCACACACACCCCGAGGGCAACCGCAATGCTGATGCGGCCCTCAATGAAATTGAGTTTGACACCCCTGCACTAGGAGTTAGGCAATGCAGAGAAGCTTTCCTTCTGCTAGTTCATGACCGCAATAAAGTTATTTAAATTTGAATTTTGTAGGTTTCCATTATCCCCTCCCTCTGCAGTTTAATTCGGGAAAAGGGTACAGATAGTCCTCAACTTACAACCACAGTTGGGACCAGAATTTAATTGCTAAACAAGTTGGTTTTTAAGTGAGTCGTGCCCGATTTTATAACCTTTTTTTTTTTGCCACTTGTTAAGCAATCACGGCAGTTGCTAAGTGAGTCATGCTGTCATTAAGTAAATCCGCCTTCCTCCATTGACTTTGCTTGTCAGAAGCCAGCTGGGAAGGTCACAAATGGCAATCCGTGACCACAAGACGCGGCAATAGTCATAAATACAACATGCCAGTTATCAAGTGCCCCAATTTTGATCACGTGACCGTGAATATATTGTAACGGTCATATGTCCGAGGATCGGTTCTAAGTCTTTTTTTTTCAGTCATTTTAACTTTGGCCACTAAATGAAAGGCTATAAGTTGAGGACTACCTGTGTGTCCACAGGAAGAGCTAAGATTCGGTTAGCTTTGATGGCAATAGGACTGCTTCTGCAGGATATCTGCTAAGGCAGGGCTTTTCAACCTTTTCACCCATTGTACCACTTTTAGGATATGGCAACATCTGAGTACCACCAGTCGCCTAGCAAGGCATCAAAAACCTGATGACCCCCCCCAAAAAAGGAAAAAAGTGATAAAGTACAGGTAGTCCTCGACTTACAACAGTTCTCTTAGTGACTGTTCGAAGTTACAATGGCACTGAATAAAGTGCCCCCCAAGGCACAGCCGAGCAAGACACCTGCCTGCCCACCTGGCGGTGCTCTTCCTCCTATCCGAGGTTTTCATTGTTGTGAGCATTTCTGTTGAGGATTGGCGGTGGGGTGGGGTGGGTGTTTGGTTTTTATTCCCCCCATCTGCTGGGTGGTTGCAGCAGGTTTTGGTCACTTCACATGACCCTGGGACACTGACCGTCATAAATATGAATCAGTTGCCAGGCATCTGAATGTAAATCACAAGACCCTGGAGAGGCTGCAACATTCCAGCTGATTGGTGCTTCTTCAGGGCTCAGCAGAAGCGCCAGGATCAGCGCCGAGCTCCAGCTGGAGCCTGGCGCTGATCCTGGCGCTTCCACTGAGCCCTGACAGCCCTGCAGCTCCAGCTGTCTCTCGCTCAGGCTTGTGCGGTGCTGCCACCGGTTCAGTTCATACCCCTCCCCCGCTACCACTTTTCTAGGATGGTCACGTACCACCTGCCAGGTGCCAATGTATCACAGGTGGTACCCGTACCACTGGTTGAAAAGCCCTGTGCTAAGAGACCAGTGGGCTTCTTTGTGCAGTTAGTTGTCTCCTGGACTGGGGGGGGGTGTTCCTCCATTCAAATACAAGCGTACATTTTAAATTAAACATCTAAGCAAGTTACAACATTGACCTGCAGTTGCGAGCAGATCTACAAAATGTGGATGAGATGCTTTATGGGGGCTCCCCATGGCTGCAACGCTCATCCACATCACCAGTCGGGGACTGAGTTCAGACATGCTGATTTGGTTTGAGCTTAAATGACTGTCCTTATTTACACAATGATGCTCTTTTCGTGGTTTTATTAATTTGGCATGGTTCCCGTTCCATTGGTTAGGTTACAAATGGAGGCGAACATACGTGTCCCAGGATAATGTTGCAGGATCCAATCTGGGTGGGCCACCAGGACCAGGGATTTTGTATTCCGAGCTTTTGTACTGCAGCCCATCTTCAGGGAACTTCTCTCTAGACACACAACCAAGTTGCTGAAGAAAAGTCAGAAAGGCTAGAGAGAAGTTCCCTAAAGATGGGCTCCAGCAGGCGTCTCAAAGCTCAGAAGACGAAACCTCGGGTCCCGATTACTGACCCAGATTGGACCCTGCATAGGTTATGTTATTTATTTAGCCCAGAAATAATTACCGTACCTTTTATCAGATTACAGAAAAGTATTTTTTTATTTTATTTTAAGATAAAGGCTAGGGCAGGGGTACGCAACCTTGACTCTTTTATGACTCGTGGACTTCAACTCCCAGAATTCCTGAGCCAGCATGACTCAGCATGGAAACCTCTCCCTTTCTCCTCAGCATGGCTGGCTCAGGAATTCTGGGAGTTGAAGTCCACAAGTCATAAAAGAGCCAAGGTTGCCTACCTCTGGGCTAGGGTAATGCTTTCTGGGCTAAATAAATAAATAACACAACCTATGCCCAGAGCAAACCCAAGTATTGACAGCTGCTTCCTAGCCCTATTCTACTTACCAAGGAAAGGAAAGGGAGAGAAGGATTCTTCAGCTGTGGCACTGGATTCCATTTTCCATGGATATTGGCTTGTCAGGGTTAAAAAAAACTCTGGTTTAGCATGAGAAGAGAATCTCCCTCAGGTTTCCTTCCCCCTCTTCAATCTGGCTCCATCTAGGCTGTTTTTTGCACTCAATGCTTTTGTCTGTTGGTTTTTTTTAGCCAATGGCGGGAAGAAGCTCCCGAAGGCCTACCAGGGTGGAGCCCATTGGAGCGTGAAGCTCTTGCTGATGAGCTCAGTGATGTCCTCATTTATCTGGTTGCCCTGGCAAACAAGTGCCATGTGGACCTCCCTACGGCTGCTCTCCGTAAAATAGAGAAGAACCGCCTCAAATACCCAGCCAAACGGGTCTATGGTTCCTCCAAGAAATACACGGAGTATCAGGAATAAGTATGGAGAGAACCTCTTCCTGGATGGAGAGAAGAAGAATCACTCTGTGGCTTCTAGAAGATGCTCTTTTCACGGTTTATGACTTCTTTGGGATGAGCAATTCAAAGTGACCCCTGTTTTGCTTTCGACTTGGGAAGGATCCAGCAAGCTCTGATTCAAAGATAGACCAATGGACCTGTTGTGGAGATCTCTGTTTTTGATCCTTTGCCCTGTCTTTTCTTTTGCAAAGTCGATCTGGAGAACCCGTGACCATCCTGGAAGTGTTGGGCTGCAATTCCATCACTCTTGAGACCGTGTTGGCCAAGAGTTGGAGTCCATCCAGATTCTCCATCCCAAACCTCAAGGGTTGCAGATGGATGCACGGGAGTGCAGAGAAATTTCTCTGGAGGGAGGTAAAACTTAAATGTCCCATTGGCTGTGGAAAAAGATATAGAGAAATACATGCCCCCTTCCTCGTGGAGGTGTATCAAGCATAGAAGTGCAAGGAGTTTTATAAACTCTGCTTTCTGAGTGAGGCTAGATTCTTCTCTCCAGCTTATGGCTATAGTTTTAGTTTAGTTTTTAGAGAAAAATAGGTGGCCACCATTTTGGCCTGAAGAATTGACGATTTCTTCTTGACTGCACATTCTTTCCAGTAGAATTGCCCACCTCAAAGTGTAAATTACATCTCATTTGGTATCCACTTTGGTCTTAAAAACAAACATGGAGGGCTTCTCTGAGGGAAGAAATGGCGGGAAGCTGAAGAATGAAATGGCTGTGGTGGTTTTCCTGCCCAGACTGGCAACATCACAAGGCTGTCGTTGTAAAATAATAAAAATTTCAAGAGGTTGCTAGATATGCCTTCTCTGTGTTGATTCATTTGCTCCTACCGAGTCGGCAGAAAGGACGAGTGATGTCATGATGCAAATGTGTCATCCCCTTACAAACACGTGACAGTACAATGTATAGTCAGCACATGCGTATGATATTGCAACACCAGTGCAGAAACAGTGGAGCACGCGTCATGAGGTGGTCGCACAAATGTCATGATGTGGGAGATACTGTGGATAGAAATGGACACCTGTGTTTCTTCTTCAGCACTTTAGTATCCCCTCCATCATATTTCTATTCTTGCTCGCCCAATAAACCATCCTGCTGATTCTGCCTATTACAGGTAGCCCTNTTTATTATCTTTTTTGCCATGATTTCTTACGCGGATTACTGCAGTTGTTGAGTAACACGGTTGCTAAGTGAATTCGATTTCCCACATTGACTTTGCTTCTCAGAAGCCAGTTGGGAAAGCTTGGCCATGGGACACGGCAACCATAAATAGGTGCCAAGCATCCAAATTTTGATCACATTACTGTGGAGTCACTGCGACAATCGCAAGTGCAAGGACTGTTCATAAGTCACTTTTCTCACTGCCGTTGTAACTTCAAACAGTTGCTGAACGAAGGTTGTAAGTTGAGGCCTACCTTTATAGTATTAAGCCAAGAATTAAAGAGTTATTTTTCCTTAGGTTCATCTTTTTGTGGCTTCTTACCAATTGTTCAACTCTTTAACATCTCGGCATTCTTGTAGAAGATTGGTAGATATTGTTGAAAATCATTTGGTTGTCCTGTTAAACTACTAAGCCATGGTGGTTTAATCCCAGCTGGTGGGTTTGCCTGCCATTGCACAAAACAGCCCTCCATAACAAAAGGACCAATATTACAGTTGAGAGAGTTGTGTAAATTCAGCCAATCAAAATCCTGAACAAATCAGATCTGGATTAATGACTGGGTCCTATTGAAAAGCCGCTACAGGTAGTCCTCGACTTGCAACCGTTTAGTGACCGTTCAAAGTTACAGTGGCACTAAAAAAAAGTGACTTATGACTGAATTTCACCCTTATGACCATTGCACCATCCCCAGGGTCACATGGTCAAAATTCAGGCGCTTGTCAACTGATTCATATTGATGACGGTCGCAGTGTGTCCCAGGATCACATGATCCCCTTTTGCATCCTTCTGACAAGCAAAGTCAATGGGGAGGCCAGGTTCACTTAACAACCGTGTTACTAACTTAACAACTGCAGTGATTCACTTAACAACTGTGGCAAGGAAGGTCATAAATTGGGGCAAACTTCGCTTAATAAATGTCTCTCTTAGCAACCGATATCTTGGGTTCAATTATGGTTGTGGGTCAAGGACTACCTGTATTTGAGGCTGGACAAGATTCAATCCCGAATCATTAACAGATCATACTTTAGATCAGGGCTTTTCAACCAGTGGTACGGGTACCACCTGTGGTACATTGGTACCTGGCAGGTGGTACACGACCATCCTAGAAAAGTGGTAGCTGGGGAAGGGGAATGAGCTGAACCGGTGGCAGCACCGCACAAGCCTGAGCCAGAGATGGCTGGAGCTGCAGGGCTGTCGGCTCCAGGATCAGCGCCAGGCTCCAGCTGGAGCTCGGTGCTGATCCTGGTGCTTCTGCTGAGCCCCGAAGAAGCACCAATTAGCTGGAAAGCAGCACTGATCCTGGCGCTTCCGCTGAGCCCAGAAGAAGCGCCAGGATCAGCTGGAATGTTGCAGCCTCTCCAGGGTCTTGTGATTTACAATCAGATGCTTGGCAACTGATTCATATTTATGACGGTCACAGTGTCCCAGGGTCATGTGAAGTGACCAAAACCTGCTGCAACCACCCAGCAGACGGGGGGAATAAAAACCAAACACTCCCCCCACCCCACCCCCACTGCCAATCCTCAGGCTCTCGTCACCTCTCGCCTGGACTACTGTAACGCTCTTTACATGGGGCTTCCCATGGGGAGCATCCGGAGGCTCCAGCTGGTCCAGAATGCGGCCGCGCGGGCGGTGCTGGGGGCGACACGTCGCTCCCATGTAACACCGCTGCTGCGCGAGCTGCACTGGCTGCCAGTGGCCTTCCGGGTACGCTTTAAGGTGCTAGTCACCACCTTTAAAGCGCTCCATGGCATCGGTCCTGGCTATCTCCGAGACC